AAAATGTTATATTTTGCGCTAGTCAGATCAAAGTTAGAGTACGCGAGCATAGTTTGGCAACCATACCACCGTATACACTCCGATAGAATAGAGTCAATTCAGAAAAAATTTGTGATATGGTCATTAAGATTTGTTTACCAAAGAGATGAGAATTTTGTATTGCCACCGTATCAGTTTAGATGTGATGTTTTAAGTATTCAACCGCTTTGGAGACGGCGTATAAATGCCTCTATATTTTTAATTTACGATCTCTTATTAGGTAAAATAGTGTCGCGTTCGCTTAGAGACAAGATTGTATACACAAGACAGCAATATAACGTAAACCAAAGAAATTTGAGAAATACAGAACTTATTAGAGTACGAATGTTTACAGCTGAATATGCACATAGTCAACCTTTTTACGTAGCGTGTAGGAATTTTAATTTAATAAGAGAAACATTTTTGGAATCGGCATCGAGACACATTTTTAGAAATAATATTGTTAAATTGGACAATTTGTTATTTAATATTCGTTAAAATAGACTAAGAAAAATTGTGTTATGAATAGTAATATACAATGGACACAGTCGATATCTGCTGCTCCGAAGTCGAAAAGACTGGCGGCTGGTATTCGATCGGGTAGTGTTTCATTGCAAATGATATTGTAAATAATTGTGATAAAATCAGTCTGTGATCAGACGGTGAATAAAAATAAATAAAAAATAATTTCATGAAAGGTACAATTTGGGATTCATTTATTGGAGCTGTGCCAAAATAAAATCGCCGAATATCAGTAAAAAGTGGGGCCATCTCTTCTTGACATGCGACTTGATCAATGTTATGGAATGGTAATACGAATGTAAAATTTTCATTGAAATTGTTCATTTTCTTTTGGTTGAGTATAACATCTAAAATTGATTTCTGAATAGAGATTTTACGAAATTAATTTTTTTTATCAAAATCTCGAGCCATTTCTTTGAACACTCACCATAGCAGTATGTGTGTAAATAGTGGGAATATCAATACCCTTTGCCAATAGCACTTGAGGTGATTCGGTCATAAATGGATTTTTTGCAGATTCAACTGGAATTTTATGATGAATTCAGAATAAATTCCATAAACTTACGTTCGATGCACGGTTGTTTATCTAGTCTAAATGTTAGCAATGATGTATCAAGAGGATTTATTTCTTTTGGGCTTGTGTGATTAACATTGTGTTAAGATATATTCAATTAATTGTTTGGTGTTATGTATCTCTTCACCTTCATTTTTGGCTAAATTCACTATAAAATCGGTTTTGTTGTTATATGGTGATATAATATGCTTGTTTAAATAAATTTCTTGACTTTGCATTCAATTTTTGAAAACTAACCGAAGCACCACCGGAACTTTCACCCATTAATGTGATTTGTTAAATCCGATATTACCTGAGGCCAATGGCAAAAAACAAAAAAACAAAAATACCAAGTCGATAGTTCAATGTAACGGGGATCACACACTTATTCAACATCAAATGAGGACCATATGCATTGGCCGTTTCGCTGATAAAACCTCCACCATGAATGTAAATAATTACGGCAATATCACTTGAACTACTGCATATCGATGTGCTCGTTACAAACACATTGAGGAAGAGTCTTCTGACACGGTGAGGTTAGAATAGTATGGTTGTACACATGCTGCTTCATAGTCCGATGCATCATACGCTCCATTCCATAGTTCCTTTTTCATTGGTGCCTGTATTTTGTATTTGAAATATTTAGTTTTCATTGCGCACAACAGTAGATAATTTAACAAACTTTCAATCGAAGTTGACCAATTGGCGGTTCAGCATAGCGAATACCACAATATAAACAAAAAGTATTGTTTCCAAGCATAGTGTGTTGTCGAACAACCGAAATACTTTCAAGTGCTGCCTTTATTACGGAACATTCCGAAGTGTTAGTTATATTTTGTGCATATGAACTAATTACCAGACACAATACAAACAAAAATTCAAACGACATTGTTTCGTTATCGACTTTTGTAGCGTAGAATAGATTGAAAATAGAGAGGTTTTTTTTAATTAAATTTTCTACTTTCGCAAAAATTCCATTTTCACACTATGAACTTTCGAAGCAAACTAAATATTGTATAGCAACGTTTGCATGCAAACTTCCGGAAGTATTAATCAATTAGGAACGTGATATGGTCGCTACACAAGCCCAAAAACAAAAAACAAAAACAATACATGTCCACTGAGCGAGCTGTATTCAAAAGAATAATAAATCAAATAGCGAATGTGTTGTGATGATGTGATTGAAGTATATATCTATTGGAAATATCGAGAGGAGAGTATGTTTTTATTCAGACATTACTCAGCCATAAGCGCTGAATAACATACTCTCTTCTCGATATATTCAATAGATATTATACTGGACAAATGTTTTTTCACCTTCTTCATTCCATGCGGCCGAATATTCATTAATTTTCTGGTCGACGTATTATACAAAATTATGGTAATCATTCGAGTATTCAATTAACGCTGGTCTCTGCTACGAATTTGGTTGACGGTGAGTCACCGC